ATAAATTGCTAGATATTGATTTTTTTGATGTAACTCTTTCAAATATTTGTGTAGCATCTTTAATCATGCACTCTAAATTTACTTTAATTCCAAAAGAAATATTAACTGGAAAAGAAGGAAAATATGTGTGAACACCTTTACAAATTAAAACTACAAAAGGTGTTTTATTAATATCTATTGAAACTAATTTAATAAATTGAATATTACAATTCAATTTAATAATTTTTCCTTTTTACTTAAGGCCTTCTTCTATAAGATGAAAATAAGCTATAAATTATCATAATATTATTTATTAATATTAAATTTATAGGATAAAATTTAAAATTTTACATATAAATAATATTATAAAATACTTATGACATTCTTTTTTTCTAGTATTGGTAAACAAAATTGTACAATAATATTTTATAGGTTTATCTAAATTAATCTAAAAAAATAATAATTTTAATTTAAATAGTTAATAACAAAATATCATTATTACTTACTAATATTCCTTTAAATAACTTTCCAAGCATTTCAATATTGATTTCATCATTATTTAATTTGCTATATATATGGTTTGTCCAGGTTACCAATTAGAACAGCCAATAAAGTAAGATGATAAATCATCATCTGATTTTTTTCTATAGCAACAAACTTGAGGTTTTTCAATACAAGTATTAGAATTATATGGATATTGAATATTAATAAATGCTAAATATTTTTTTAATTAATAAATTATAAAATATATTAGTAATTAATTGATTATATTAAAATTTATTTTAATAATATTAAATTCTTACGCATTTGTTTTAGCTTCAATTGATATTTGTGAATCTATAGGTTGATTTACTTTATAAAAATCTATATCTTTATTTACTTCTGTATGTGTTATATTTTTTAATTCATCTGATGCAAATTCGCATATCTTTGCCCAGTACAATTTCTAACAAATTTGTAAACTTTACATTCTAAAAATTCACATTCAACAACTTTTTTCCCACCACCTTTACCAGTATTATATTAAATCTATATAATTAAAATTAGAATTAATAAGCTTATAATTATAGCATTTTTTGAAAATTAATAACTTATATCAGAAAATGCTGAATTAAATCATCACATTCTGAAATATTATAAACAGTTGCTATACTCTCTATAGAAGTTGGAGGATATTCAACTGAAATTAGAGAATATCTAACTTCGCTAATATGCAATTTTTTTGTAAAATAGTTATATAAATTTCAAAAATATCATCAAATTTATTATCTTAATATTCGATCTAAGAATATATAAATAATATAATTAAATAAAAAATTCTATTCTTTAATACTATAAAGAAAATAACTAATATTAATACTAACAATTTCTATTTCTGGAATCTCATTATCAGAAAATTTTTATTTAAATAATTGTTGAGCTAGTAGCATTTGTTGAAATATTTGATAAATTCGTAGTTTTTAAAGAGATAACTGTTGAACTTATATCTTCAATTGAATCAGTTGTTAAATCTATAAAATCATTATAAAGAGATGCTGAAAGATTGGATGCTTCCAATTTTAAGTTATATGAAGATCCATTCGTTATAAAGCTTAAATCAAAATTACTTAAAGATGAAGAATCTGATCTATCCATGGATGTTTTTTTAAAAAAATAATACAAACAGTACTAAGTATTTTATTTATTTAAATGATAAAAATTAATTTGTAATCATATATTATGTGATAAAAATGATTTGTAAGCATATACATTATGCGATAAAAATTTTAACATGTTATTGGGCTTTTAATTATATCTCATACCAGACTTAATTTATTTGATTTATTAATGATTACGTCTGATACAAAATATAATTAAATACCAGTTAACAAGATTTCCTTTAGTGGTGCTTATCATTAATTTAACAAAAGTATTTTTTGTATTAAATAGAATTGTTATATAAAATTTTATTAAGTATTTTGTGAACTTTATTACTTTTGTACTTTACAGTATAATTTTTTTATACTTTGTTACTTTATAGTATAATTTTTTATATACTCTGTGACTTAACAGTATAATTATCTATACAATAGTCTGGTGGTACTTTAGAGTGCATGATTAAAGATGCTACACAAATATTTGAAAGAGTTACATCAAAAAAATCAATATCTAGCAATTTAT